TGTTTACTGTGCTTTAGTGGTAATCTCCTGTGACTGACTCCCCCCACCCCCAACATCCTCCTTTGTCGTTGGCTGAACATGGTATTTAAGACGAGAATTTCTGCTATGGTGTTGAGAAACACAGTGTCCCTCCCTGGTTTCTCCCATGTATACATGTTATTTTATTTTATTTTTTTTTTAAAGATTTTATTTATTTTATTTTTTCCCCCCAAAGTCCCAGTAGATAGTTGCATGTCATAGCTGCACATCCTTCTAGTTGCTGTATGTGGGACTTGGCCTCAGGATGGACGGAGAAGTGGTGCCTTGATGCGCACCTGGGATCCGAACCCGGGCCACCAGCATTGCAGAGCACGCACTTAACCACCAAGCCACAGGGCCGGCCCCATGTATACATGTTATTAAACTTGGTATTATTTTCTCCTGCTAACCTGTCTTGTTAATTATTTGGCCAGCCATAAGAAGCTTAAGGGAAACGGCAGAGGGCGATCCTCCCTCTTCCCCCGACACCTGCATTCACAGAAGCACTGGCAGAACAGGTAGGGAGGTGAGGCACTGGGGGTGGGGGCAGGGTGGGGTCTCTACCACCTCCTCTGCGGGGTGGCTTCTGGAAGGCTGGAGTGGGAGTGTACCGGCAGGTGCACTGCAGGCGGGTGACAGGCTCACTGGGTGGGGCTGCAGTCCCTCCATCAGAACCCGGCCCTCACCTGTACCTCTGACAGGCTGCCTTCCCCTTCAGCTGGCCATGGCCCCCACTGCCACCCTTGGACCGCTCTGACCTCTGACCTCTAGGACTCCCCACGGGCTGCGGGTAATTTAGGGGCATCTCAGGAAAGTCTGTGCAATGGACCCAGCTTGGGGTGGAGCCCCTCAGAAGCAGCTTCTTGGGGGCTGGTGGGCTGGGGTAGGGTGAGCTTGATTTCCTGGGTATCTGCAGGGCGTTTCCACTAGGAGTTTTCCAAATGTTTGGGGCTTCACAGAGCTCCCTGGGGTCTCATTGGCCTGATCATCCAGGATGGTGTATGGTCCAGGATGGTTTATGGTCCAGGGCAGCTGCTTCTAGGTAGAACCTGGCCCGCAGAAGCAGCAGCAAGCAGACTGTGGGAGACGTGGGGGGGCCTGTGGGAGGACGCATGGGGCGACCGCGAGGTGCACTGCCCCACCCCTAGCCAGGACAGCTGGCAAAGACCTGGTTAGTGTCTTTGGCCTTGGTGTTCCAGGGGTCTGCTAAGGCAGCCAGGATCCCTGGAGCTCTGGCCACTAAGCTCTGGGAGGGGCGGGGATTGTCTGCCTGTTCTCTGCTGGGTCCAGAACATCACCCAGGCACTGCAAAGAGCGGGTGACTGGAGAGCCACAGCCTTCTCATTCTGAGCCACTTGCAAACAATTTCACAGCACCTCCTTCCACGGTTCCCCCCAAGGAGCCTGGGGAGCACTCTGCAGAGGGAGAAAGACCAGTCTGATCCAAAAGCCCTTTGATTCACTTTTTTAATTTTTTTTTTCTTTTTGAATGTCATGCACTAATTCACAGTCCCAAGCCCACAGTTTTCAAACAAGGTAGGAAAAAGGAAAAAAGAAGCAAAGGAAATCGGTGGTGTTTTTTTCTCTTTTTCTTTTGTTATTTCAAGCAGAACCAAATGTCAGAAAAAATTGCTTCTTTTCTCAATCATTCATTTTTTTGTCCTTTTTAAAACTGTTGATTTGTTTAAGTTGATTTCTGCAGGCAGTAATAGTAGGGTTTGGTGTAACCAGCAAGCACTCCTGTGTCTGAGAACGTGTGAGGGGTGAGTGTCTGGTGAGGTCTGCGCGCGACGCGGGGCTTCCGACGCGCCGCCGCTCCTGGGCCACACGAGGGCCACCAGCTCACCTTCACCAGGGGAAGGAAAGACTCGATTGAGATGATAAAACTCATCAATAGAAGCGTTTTTTTCTCCCCGTTTTTCTTTTAAAAATGTTTGTTTTTTTTAAATTTCCGTTTTCCCCAAGGTTCTCCAAAAATGGCTGAGTTAATTCGAATCCCTTGGCTGTGTGGTTTGTCTGCCCCCAGGGTCCCGCGGCGGGGGGTCGGGGCCGGCTGGCGCGCGGTCACCGCCCAGGAGCGGCCCGTCCCGGCCTGGCGGAGGGTCTCTGCCGGACAGCGGTGCGCCCCGGCCCC